CAGATCGTCCCCAGTCCCTCTCTCACTGTCCCCAGTCTCTCTCTCTCACAGACTGTCCCCAGTCCCTTTCTCACTGTCCCCAATCTCTCTCTCTCACTCTAAACCAATTTCTGCCAATCTGACCCCAGTCTCTTTCTATCCCCAGTCGCTCTCTCTCTCTCCCCCCCACCATGCTCCTACTTCCACTCTCTCTGTCCCTCTCTCCTCTGCCTCCGTCTCTCTCACTCTCTCTCTCTTCCTCTCCGTGTCTGTCTCCCTCCCCGCTCCTCCTCTCTCTGCCGTTGCCTCAGTTGCTGGGAGCAGCCTGGATGATGGCGGTGATGGGACTGGTCTCCCTTTGCTGGTGAAGTTTCCGGTGCCTCTGGAAGTTCTCCCAGAGCCGGAAGCTGCCCCCACAGGAGTCGCAGATGAAGGAGTTGGCTCCTTCGCAGTGGTGGGCTCTGTCAGGGATGGCTGGGGGCCGGCGCGCCCTCACATGGCAGCGCAGGTAGTGGGGCCGGGCGAAGGCCTTGGTGCATGCTGGGCAGGTGTTCACCCCTCCCCGGGGGGTCTCCCGGGCCGATGAGCAGGGCCCAAACCGTGGGGCAACCCGCTGCCCTCGGTAGACCCGCCCGGGCTGCTCCACGGTCTGGGACCGGCCGAGGGGGTCTCCGCACACGCCACAAGTCAGGCGCCGCTCTGTCCTGGGGCACGAGGGCTCCATGGTGGAGGTGGGCCCCATGGCGGAGGTGGGCCCCGCGGTGGAGTTCGACCCCGCGGTGGAGTTCGGTCCCATGGCGGAGGTGGGCCCCGTGGTGGAGTTTGGTCCCATGGCGGAGGTGGGCCCCACGGCGGAGTTTGGCCCCGCAGTGGAGCTGGGGGATGAGCCCGCAGTGGGGTACGGGCCCAGGGCGGTAGGGGGCCCCACAGTGGAGGACGAGGAGGAGCAGAGTCCCATGGCAGAGGAGGCAGAGCCTAATCTTGTTGCGGGGTTCAGAGCCAAGGACCACCCAGTGGCAGAGGAGTCAGAGAGCCCCACGGCGGAGGTGTATGTCAGTCCAGAGACGGAGGAGTTTGACAGCCTCACGGCGGAGCAGTGTGATGGTCCAGAGACGGAGCAGTTGGAAACCACCGCGGTGGGGGAATGTGTCGGTGCAGGGACGGAGGAGTTGGAGACCCCCACGGCGCAGGAATGTGTTGGTCCGGTGGCGGAGGGCCCCGCGGCGGAGGAGGAGTGTTTCGGTCCAGAGGCGGAGGGCCCCACGGCGGAGGAGCAGTGTTTCGGTCCAGAGGCGGAGGGCCCCACGGCGGAGGAGGAGTGTTTTGGTCCAGAGGCGGAGAGCCCCACGGTGGAGGAGGAGTGTTTTGGTCCAGAGGCGGAGGGCCCCACGGCAGAGGAGGAGTGTTTCGGTCCAGAGGCGGACGGCCCCGCGACGGAGGAGGAGTGTTTCTGTCCAGAGGTGGAGGGCCCCACGGCGGAGGAGTGTTTCGGTCCAGAGGCGGAGGGCCCCACAGTGGAGGAGGAGTGTTTCGGTCCAGAGGCGGAGGGCCCCACGGCGGAGGCCCCCATGGCGGAGACGGCGTGGACAGGCATGTGCCACTGCAGGAAGAGCTGCTGGGTGAAGCCCTTGCCACAGGCCGGGCAGACGAAGGACTCGCGGGGCCCATGGCTGCGCTGGTGCAACACCAGCTGCTGGGCCTGAGGGAAGCAGGCAGAGCAGGCGTCACAGCGGTAGCTCTGGGTCTCGGCCAGGTGGAGGCGCCGGTGGCGGCCGCAGTTCTCGGCCAGGGCAAAGGTCTTGCCGCAGAGCCCGCACTCGTGGGGCTGGCGGCCGGTGTGCGAGACCTGGTGCCGTGCCAGCAGCGCCGCCACGGTGAAGCCCTTGCCGCAGACATCACAGACGGCCAGCCTCTCGCCCCGGTTGCACTGCTCCCGCGAGGACACCGCCTCGGCCCGGGTGAAGCTCATCTCTCCGAACGCCCGCTGCCCGGCGTGCACCCTCAGGTGTTGCTGCAAGGCGTGAGAGCGGCTAAACTCGTCCCCGCATGTGGCGCACGTGAAGGGGGCTTCGGCTCGGGCTGGGGGCGCAGGCAACTGTTTCCCAGTCTGCATTCCTCCAGCGTCTGCCTCCTCCCTCCCTCCTTCCTTCTGGGCTCTCTCTCTCCCCCGGTTCTCCCTCCTTCCTCCTCCTGCTCCCTTCCTCCTCCCGAAACCCCTCCTCCTGGTCCCCCTCCCTCCTCCTCCTGCTGGTCCTTCTCCCTCCCCCTTCTCCTGCTGGTCCCTCTTCCTCCTGGTCTCTCTGCCTCCTCCTCCTGGTCCCTCTCCCTCCTCCTCCTGCTGGTCCCTCTCCCTCCCCCTCCTCCTGCTGGTCCCTCTCCCTCCCCCTCCTCCTGCTGGTCCTTCTCCCTCCCCCTCCTCCTGCTGGTCCCTCTTCCTCCTCCTCCTGCTGGTCCCTCTCCCTCCTCCTCCTGGTCCCTCCGCCTCCTCCTCCTGGTGCGTCTCCTTCTTCCTCCTCCAGGTCCCTCTGCCTCCTCCTCCTGGTGCGTCTCCCTCTTCCTCCTCCAGGTCCCTCCGCCTCCTCCTCCTCCTGGTGCGTCTCCCTCCTCCTCCTCCGTGTCCCTCCTTGTTCACTCCCTCGGGTCCTCGGGGCACCTACTGAGGAGTGGGAGGGAGAGGGAGAGGGAGTGAGAGAGACAGGCGTAGAAAGATAGATGAAAAGTGGAGGGAGGGACAGAGAGAGAGAGACACGTGCAGAGGTCAGGGAGAGAGGGGGAGTGGAACACGGATGGTGGAGAGGTAGGGAGGGTGAGCGGGTGAGAGAGAGATAGAGTGAC